GCGTGCGTGCCCAAGATCCCAAGAGGAGAATGGAGGAGAAGGGATTGCAGTGTAGCCATCCCCACTGGGGGGTGATTTCTCACTTTCTATCTCTCTGTCTGTCTCTGTCTGGCGAGCACATGCGCCCTATAGCAAAAAAAACTCTCCGAAAAAAATAAATAAATAAAAAATAAAAATAAATAAATCTTAAATTGCAAAATGTATTATTCACTTTTAACCAAAAATCTCTGTTTATGCCTTTCAAAGAACATTTACCTTATTAATCTCAGTGTCTGTTTTTACTTCTGACTTTGGAACAGAAATAGCATGCAAATTTGAATTAGTTTCAAATTCTTCACAATCATTTTTTTTCTTTTCAGTAGGAAAAAGGTCTTCTTTGAATGTTCTAGATTAAGACATGTGAAAAAAATCTTAATAAGTTGAATATCTCATTAATATTATATATATGTATATGTTATATGTGTGTGTGCACACGTGTGTGTATACATACAACTCCTACAACTCAACAACAAAACACAAACAACCCAATTAAAAAATTGACAAAGGACTTCACTAGATCTTTCTTCAGGGAATATATGCAAATAGCAAAGAAGTGAAAGAAAAGATGCTAACATTACTAAACCTTATGGAAATACAAATCAAAACCACAATGAGATATCACCTCATATCTACTAGAATGGCTTATAGTTAAAAAAAAATGAAAAAATGAAAAAAAACAGGTATAAATCTTCATGCCCTTGGATTAGGCAATAATTTCTTTTTTTTTTCTTTCTAGATATTTTTGTTATAAGGTGCGTGTGCTTGCTGGAGAGACAAAAAGAGACAGAATGTGAGAAATCAGTCCCTATGGGGAATGGCCACGCCACAATCCCTTTTCTTCCATTCTCCTCTCAGGATTTTGGGCACACACACACATGCACTCGACAAGAGTTTTAAGTCTCCAGGTCTGGGGCTCGAACCACAGTTGACTGTGCGCGAGTCCAGGGACATAACCATTATGCCATTTGCTGGTCTTGGATTGGGCAATGATTTCTTAGATACACATGAGGCACAATCAATCAAAGAAAATATTTGGACTTCATAAGGATTATAAACTTTGTGCTTCAAGGAATACTAACGTGAAATCAAAGACTCACAGAATCCAAATATTTTAGAAATTCCTACAACTCAATGATCAAAAGATAAATAACACAATTTAAAAATGGACAAAGAGTTTGAACAAACATTTCCCCAAAGATGATATACAAATGGCCAATAAGCACATGAAAAGATCTCAATATCAGCAGTCACTAAGAAAATACAAATAAAAGGACCAGCAGATGGTATAGTGGTTATGTTACATGACTCCCACATAACTGACTGCAGTTTGAGTCCTGGACCCGGTGGCTTAAAACTCACGCCGTGCGCATGTGTGTGCATGCCCAAAATCCCGAGAGGAGAATGGAAGAGAAGGGATTGCAGTGTGCTCATCCCCCCTGGGGGTAATTTCTTGCTTTCTCTCTCTCTGTCTATCTCTGTCTCTCCTGTGAGCACACATGCCCTATCACAAAAATCTCTCTTAAAAAAAAATACAAATCAATATTGTTAGGCCGTCAATGGGAATAGATTCAATAATAGTAACTACTACTTACAAGGTATTTACTCTGTTTATTTTCAATGCCATGGTTGCTATCACCACTTTATAAGGAAGGAAACTGAAGTCTAAAAAAAAATGCATTTAGCTTCTGGTCTGTTAATAGTTAACCAAAGTCAAACAACTAGCCAGATACAAAACAGTGATTAGAACCCAGGTAGTCTGACTAAGCAAAAAATGTACTTGAGCTACTACCTATGTATTCCTCCTATAATGTAAAAGATGTATAATTATGATTATAACTTTCTTTTACAAGTCAAAAAAGTGTGAGTCACCTGATGAGGTTTTCATTTATTTTTTCTATTGAGAATGGCATTTCAGCAGAATTATTAAATGATTCCAAAAGTAGCGTGACTGCACTGTTCATAAGTTGACGGATGAGTTCCTGAAATATGTAGTCAACCAGTGTCAGAAATCTGAAAATTGTTTCTAATAGACGTCGATATTTAGGCAACTTGAAATGCACTATGTCATCAGAAGAGAGTTTTGACTCAAAATACTCCTTAATTTCTTCCTTTTCTGCAACCTACAATATGATGAACAATTGAGGAGCAAATGATGATTTCTTGTGTTAAATAAAGCATAGTTTCTAGTTTATAGTATTTTAATAGCCTAATAATAATTGGGACTAAACTATATTAAAACCTTTATTAAAACTTGATGCTTACACTGTATTTAAAAATCAGACAGAAAAAAAAATACATGTTCTGACGCCTATGAAGTTTGTTGTCTCACTTATAAGAGACTTAAGTTTAAGAAGTCAAATAAGGAAGCCTGCACTAACGAGTATCTGTGTTTCTATATAGAGGGACTCTCCTTGAACGTTGAGTGTTGCCAATGGGGAAGAGTCAAGTCCAAATGTAAGGTTTTCTAAAACCACCAGTCCAGTGCTGCTTCTACTATCCTAGGCTATCACAGTTTGACTTTTTCAACACACACATGCTACATAAGAAATGGAAAAAGATAAGTTTATACAATTAAAGTTCATCATCAGATTGTGCTTGGGGAAGCAGGGGAACTATCAGGGATAAGATAAGGAATGAGAGGCTATCATCCACATAAAAGAGCTGCACTTCATCTTCTGGTCAGGAATGAAAGTTATGACATCATCGCTTTCCAGTAGCTATACAAAGTTCAGTTCAGAGAACTCATATATGAAAAATGCTTGAGGGAGACCTCGTCCATCCATTGCTCTAGAGAGCCTCAAATATCCAGGTGGGTTTGGTTAAACCAGAGGAGACAGCAAGTCCATAATTAAATGATACTGCATCATTGTTTTAACTGCATTGTCTTTCCCAATACAGGAAAGCTACACAAAACAGCCCTGTGAAATGAGTAACAGCATATAGGATAAATATGTTTCAAAGACATGGTTCGTAATACTATTGAGTTTCCTTTAAAGTAAGTCCTTAGTGAGGCTTTATTTCATCTAGTTACATTTCTCCTGAGCAATGGATTTTCTTTATTTTATGAATGCTATGTACTTTGTAACTAGTCACAGTTCCCGTGTGTGCCAGTTCAAGTAGGATTTTAAAGCATCTTAAAGCTGCATATGTGAACATATATTTTGAGTCATCAGAAAAGTCATGAAACTTATTTTTCTGTTTTTCTGTGAAAAAATGTGTCCTGACTGTTTAAGCAACCCAATATATATTCATTCACACACACACACACACACACACACACACTTCTTTGCATTTTATACAGCACCTGGAAAAATTCTTGTATATTGTAGAAACTCAGCGTTAGTTAGTTGGTTAATTAACAACCTTTGTCCTGCTACCTACCAATTGTCAATGTTTTTTCCCGGGATGCAATTTGGAATAATTGTTTCAGTGTGCGTAGCAACTTTGATAAACAGAGAGGATATAACTAAATAATTACCTTTAAAATTGTATTTTTTATCTCTAAAATTGCTTCGTTTCTGATATTCTCAAATTGTTTCAGTGCCTGAGTAACTTGCTGTAATTGTTCATCACAAAATTCATCCAGAGAATATGTTCGAGAACTATCCAGCTAATTCAACGATAATAAATGTTGGGCATTAGAAAGTCAAATTCATTTACAGGCAAATAAAAGATAAAATACTTAGTTACCTTTTCATGTCATAAAGGAGAATGTATTTTACTATGTTCTTTATATACTATGTCTCATATGTTCTTCAAATTTAAAATCTCAAAGTTAAGAGACCAGCAGATGGTGTAATGGTTACATCACTTGACTCCCATGTAGTCAACTGTGTTTCAAGTCCCAGACCTGGTGGCTTAAAACTCATGTGGGCACATATATATGTGTGCCCAAAGTTCCAAGAGGAGAATAGAGAAGAATGGATTGTGGCATGGCCATCTCCCCTGCGGATGTTTGTGTGTGTGGGGGGGGGGGATGATTTTTCTCTTTCTATCTCTCTTTTTCTCTCCGTGTCTCCAGTGAGCACACACGCCCTGTAGCAAAAATCTCTCTCAAAACAAACAAACCAAAAAACTCAAAGTTAAATCTAACTGAAGAGTGACAGAACAGAAAAAATACATGTTATTTTAAATTATAACTAAAATTAAGGCAAAGGAGAAAAATTTAAGAGTTGAGGCAATTCCGAAATGACACTGAGGGACTCACCAATCCCAGGAATTACTTTGACATTTGAAGTCCCAATTACTTGTAAAAACTTAAAAATATGCACATGAATTGCAGGATAATTTTAATTGTGTCAAAATTTTAAAAACCCAAATAAATTAAATTTTACTCAAAATTAATTCAGTACCTAACAGGTAGCTATCTCTATCAATTATGCTATGAATTATTATCTTGGTAATACAGAAACAGAATGCTTCACCCACTCATACACTCCATCATTCTTCCTCCTTTCAGTATTTTCTTATTTTTCCTACACCATATTAACTTTCTTAACAAGATGCATTTTTATCCACACACATGCAGACTTCTTTATCCCCAGTTATAAAATAGTAATTGGTACATGTAATGTTTCCCATAACGAAAAGAAAAAAAAAAAAAGATCGAAAAGTACTTCTCTACATTTAAAATTTTGGATTTACTCTGAGTTTCCCCTCTTTTTATCCTGTATCTGACTATCAGGTACTCGTTTTCCCAGTAAACTATTTCTCAGAAACTCCTTTCCTTTCTGGTCTCACGGCCAATATCCTCATGGAAGTTTCTATTGCTTATTCTTGCAATTTTCCAGTACTGTTGTGAGCCCTTTAGTTTCTCATTTCCAAATTTTCCCACAAACCACTGTCACAGCAGTTTTCCTGAAACTGCCTGTTCAGAGATTTTCAATAGCTCTTCTTCAAGAGTAGTTCTCAACATTTATCCAGCACAAGAATTACCAGAGGAACTTGTTAAAAGGTAGATTAAAAGGCTGGCCCCATAGCATTGTGGTTAAGGGACAGATCCCACACAGCCTACCATGCTTTGAATCCCAGCCCTGGCAACAGAAAAACAAACTAGTCATGTAGGTGTGTGTGCTCCCAATCCCAACCGGATGGAAAAATGGAAGAGTTGTGGTGTAGCCACACTCCATCGCAGGGTACCTTCTCCCTTTCTCTCTCTCTTTGTTAATCTCTGTCTCTCTCTGGCAAGTGTATGCACCCTCTGGCAATTAAGGGGGAAAAAAGAAAAGTAGATTACTATTACCACAGACTGCCCATTCCTCCAAGAGGAATGGAATACATATCTATATTTTTATTAAGCACTCAAAATACTGCCCTCGGTAACTTCACTCTTCAATTTGAAACATGATCCAAAGTCTCAACCACACCTGATTTGTGAAGTTAGATAAATGACAATCTCTCTAGCACTAAGTGTTGTCATTTGAAACCGAAAGTTTGGACAAAATGATTCACATACATTCTTTACCTTCTAGTTCTAGAAAGTTCACCATTTTTAAAGGTGTGCTTTCATCCTAGTGGAGTACTCACAACCACCATTAATAGCATTAACTTCTGAACAAGCACAAACCTTTATGTTCATAACTTTGCTTCATTGTCCTTGTAAGGAATGGGCTGACCGAACGAGAAATAGAAATGTGGAGTCTTTATCGGGAACGCTCCCAGGCGAGGTTCGCTGGTCCTACGGGGGTGTGGGGGCTGTGGGGGGGTGGAGGGGGAGTGGGACTGGGGGCAGAGAAGTTGTGTCCTAGGGAGGAGTTTAGTGATTTTTATGAGTATAGGGAGAGGGAGTGTCTTAGAGGTAGAAACAGTCCAAGTATGGTAATGGGTTAGGGGGAGAGCAGAGTACTGTGCCACATAGGGTCTGGTGCCATGTGCAGAGTAAAGCGCATGTGCTACATCCGGGTTAGATCCGAGTGCAGCACAGGTCTGATGACAGACTAGATCCAGGTTGCATCAGCCGACTGTGACATGGCATCCCACCCCTACATCCAAGCTGCCCGGGCCTCCGGCCTAACAGTCCTTACTTCCTCCTTGTCAGTCTTCACTGGCATCTGCATCATCCCCCAGCTATGTATAGCCTTCCAGTTCTAACACACAACTGGCCACCTTCTGAGTCCTAACTTCAGGCTCCAATCTTCTTGCGACGGATCTCTGTTCTCCCTTCACCCGAGTCTGCCTTTTCCACAGACATTCTCAGGAACTCCCATTCTTGCAAACTGTCTTGGAAACAACTTTCTCTAGGAATGCCTCTGCCCTGTGAACAAGTTCAGATCCGACTTCTTCCTTATCCTATAATTCTTGGCCTAACGGTCATGAACTTAACTTTCAATAAACAGATACTGATAAGGCCCTTCCTTTCTGACTATTCAAACAGTCATAACATGAAGCTAATTTCAAGTATGGTGAACCTCTGAATTTTTGTGATGTGACTGTTTTACAAGTATTATTTGCCAATAAACATTCCTTGCCTTTAGTTTGCTCATTTCTTAGCTGGAATAATTACCAAAACAAAGGGCCTTACTTTGAATTTGTTATAATTTTTATATGTAAAGGATTATTTCTTTCAATTAATTATAAACAGATTGAAAATACGCTTTGGTTTTACTTTGTAGTCATCCTCTTTGCACAGCACTCTCATATTACAGATAATTAATAAGTACTTACATATTGTCTGGAAAACTGTATTCTCTTCCTGTTTATGTTCTGGGAGGAAGATGATGTGGCCTAAAGTTTCCAAGAGTGAATCCTGATGTTTCCTCTTTGTCACTGGTTAGCAATACCATCCAGTGGTATCTGAAGCACAGACTTCAGAGATATTGTGAAGTCTACTCTGCCCTCCCATTCATCTTTATGTTGTTTTTTGTTGTTGTTTTGTTTTGCTATAGGGAATATGCACTCACCAGAGAGAGAGACAGAAATCGGGGTGGAGGGCTAGGGTGAGAAATCACCCCTCAAGAGAGGGATGGCCACATTGCAATCCCTTCTCCTCCATTCTCTCATCAGGATTTTGGGCATATGTGGACATGCATCTGGCATATTTTTCAAGCCTCCAGGTCCAGGACTCAAACTGTGCAGTCATGGGATACAACCACCTTAACCACCACACCATTAACTGACCCCCGTTGAGTGAATTGATAAATTCTATCACCTAGCTATTTATAAAACAATCTAATATGATAGCTGCCCGACCTACTTATTTCTTCATGAAAATCATATTAAAAAATACTCCTCTAAGAAATAGATCTTACTTATGTCAAATTTAATCATTTTGAAACACTAATATACTCAATATAAACTATACAAAATGCACTTCCTCTGTAGTGGTTAACTCATTAACTAGTTATTTTGTTTACTAACTCAAAGAATATTTATTGAGCATCTACTACATGTACCAATCACTACAATAATTAGTTCTAAATAGAAGATGTTGATTGATAGGCACTGATCTTAATACCTGTATATAGTCAGCACAATGTTTTACCTGATTGCCAGATTTATAACTTGTCCAATCCCCTTCATTATTCCTCTAAGTCTAGATGACTCTATCAGTTTTACTTTTCAGTATCTCACTCATACATTAAGTGAAATAAACACTGCTCTGATCCTATTCAAGTACATACCTAAGCTCTTAAAATTTATAGTTATACATACTTTAAAGAAATCTTATATATATTAAGTTAAATCAATCCACGAAGAACCTCACACTTTCTAGAATCTTGAAGCAGTATAATTCATAAATTAAAAAAACCTAAAGAATTATTTAACTTTATTTATTTATTTGACCAGAGAGGGACACACAAAGATAGAGTGAGAGAGAGAGAGTGCCACCAGGTCCAGGACTCAAACTATGATCAGCCATGTGGGAATCCAGCACCCTTAACTACTACATCATCTGCTGCCCCCAAACTCATAAATTTAATAAAACCCTCTGAGTTGCAATTTACAATTTCTTGATATGCTGTACTGAGGGAAGAAAAGCTGGTAACTATTAGATATGTAATAGGGATAATTGAATATTTATAAATAATATTACACATTTAGAGATACATCTAAAAATAAAGAGTCTTACAGACTTACGTTAGGTATCAGGAAGAAATCCTTTATGTCATGAACTATTAAAATTGACTGCCAAGGAAATTGTATTCTTTGTAGCTATTTTAGAATACTAACTTATCTGGGACCAGCAGTTAGCATAATGGCTATGTCACTGGACTACTATGTAGTCGACCACTGTTCAAGCGCCCGACCTGGTGGCTTAAAACTTATACCGGGCCTGTGTGCGTGCCCAAGATCCCGAGAGGAGAATGGAGGAGAAGGAATTGTGGCATGGCCATCCCCCCGGGGGGGGTGATTTCTCACTTTCTGTCTTTCTGTCTCTCTCTGTCTTTGCGTCTCTCTCTGTCTTTCTATCTCTTTCCATCGAGTGTACATGCCCTATAGCAAAAAACCTCTCCAATAATAATAATAATAATAACTTACCCATAGAGATGTTTTACTCAAGTATCTAAAAGTCCATATTTATTTTTTTCAAACCCTTTTTTTTTTTTGCCAGTACTAGCTTATAATAGTATACCTCTACCCACCTTTACAAGGCATATGGCAGATGGGTTATCTTCATGTCCATTATAATTTGTAAGATTAATTGCATCTTCACAAAGTCCTTTTATATAAAACAAACAGGCTTGAAAATACTCATTAGCCCAAAATAGATGGCGTTGCAAAAGTGACCTGAAAGTTTATAATTTTCCAGACTTATCTTTTATTCATAATAAATGAAATTAACTTAGAGATAAAAAGTATAATTTAGTTCATATGCCTATAATTAAAATGTGCTACATTTACCATGTTTTAAATGGTAAATATTAGTAATCGATAAGGGGTGTGTTTGGCTGATAGTGTAGACCAGGTTTTGCATACTGGGTATGTTGAGTAGGATAAGAATAGAATATCATGGAATGCTACCGGGCAATAGGAAGCCTCTATTGGTACATGCGACAATCTGATAACTCTCTAGAAAGTTAGGTTAAGTGAAAAGTCAGTCCCAGAGGTGACATACATGGAAAAAGTTCATGGAAAATACATGTCCAGGAAAAACTATATAGAGATTTCAAATTTTTTTGTACCTAAATAAATTTGTACTTTAATTCCTTTTTTTTTTTTTCCTTTTAGGTTTTTGCCATAGGGCCTGTGCACTCACCAGAGAAAGGCAGAGAGAGGGAAAGTGAGAAGTCACCCACTAGGGGGATGGCCATGCTCTCCAATCCCTTCTCCTCCAGTCTCCTTTTGGGATTTTGGGTATGAACATACATGTGCCTGGCATGATTTTTGAGACACCAAGTCTGGGACTTAAACCATGATCAGTCATGTGGGAGTCCAGCACCTTTAAACACCATGCCACCTGCTGAGGCCTTTAATTACACTTTTTGCTAAGTTTTTTTTTTTTTTTTTTTTTTTGCTGTAGGCACATGCTCTAACAGCAGAGAGGTGGAGACAGAGAGGGAAAATGATGAATCACCCCCACATGGAATGGCCACATTATGACTCCTCCTCCTTTATTTTTCTCTCAGGTTTTTGGGCATGTGTGTGTGTGCATGCCAAAAAAATCCTTGGAGGGGAATGAGGAAAAGGGATTGTGGTATGGTTATTTCCTCTGAGGGGAGATTTCTCACTTTCTCATTCACTGTCTTTGTCTTTCTCCAGCAAGTGCACACATGCTATGGCAAAAATTTTTTAAAAATTATAAAAACACTTTATTGAGGTATGATTATCATATTTTAAAAGCTATATGTATTCAATATACACAGTATAATGCATTATGGAGATATATATGCATCTGTGAATCATCTTCACAATCCATGCTATAAACATCTGTTACCTCAAAAAGTTTCTTTCCCTCTTCTTTATTTACCTATTATCATTATTAGTGATAAGAGCATTCATTTTTTGTTTTGTTTCTTTTTAATTTTCTAGAGGGATGGGTGCTTGCTGGAGACAGAGGAGAGAGAGCAAGAGAGGGAGAGAAAGTGAGAAAGACACCTCCCATGGGGGATAGCCAAGCTACAACCCCTTCTCCTCCACTTTTCCTTTTAGGATTTTGGGCACACATGCATATGCATCTAGTGAGTCTCTCAAGTTTTTAGGAAAAACTGAGTCCAGGACTCAAACTGTGAGATCAGCCAAGTGGGATCCAGCTACCCCAACTACCACACCACAGCTTGGCCTGTTAGAGCATTCTTGAAAAGACAGTCACAGAAATGGCAAAGAGACTAGTGCCTGCCACAGGTTAAGGAGAAAGTGGGAGTGGGAAGGAAGTAGTTATAGCTATAAAAGGCCAACACAAGGGATCCTGTATGGGAAAAAACATTCTATAGCTTGATTATATCAATGTCAATGTCCTGATTGTCATAAAGTATTACAGTTTGGAATGATGTTACCACCTTGGGAGAAACCAGGTAAAGTGTACATGGGATCTGTCTGTATGATTTCTTACAAATGCATCTCAATCTATAGTGATGGCAAATAAAAAGTTTAATATAAACAATAACAACCAAACACTTAGGTCCTATAAAATGGAATTAAATGTCATCTATCTTGGATGACTTAATTATTCCTCTTCTTGGAAGCAAAAAGTTAAATAAAGTGACTAAGACTTTTCACAACACTATGACCACAGAATGGTATATTGCAAAGCATAGTATTTATCTTTTTTTTTTTTATGAGAGTTTGCACACATGTGCAAGAGAGAAACACCCTCTATAGTGTTTCATCACACTGTGATCCCCTTCCCCCAGCATCCCAGTAACTCAGGATCCTGGGCACCCAGGAGCACACCTGATACATTTTCAAGCCAAAACAGAGATCCAAACCTGTGGTCAGCCATATGGATTCCAGCCTTGCAGGACAATTGTATTACTACTGGACCACAGCGACTGGGCCATAGTAGACTTTAAAAGAATAAAGCTGGACCGAATTTAACCATAACTGTAGTAGAATATGACTTTCCAATCACTGAATAAAAATAAATCATATTTGTTTGCATACTATAATTTAAAAATATAGCCTCCTTTTGAAATTTTTAGAAATATGTCATACATCAAGACTGACTTACCTGCTCTTCTCTGTCCTAATTCTTTTAACATTCAATTTCCAGGTAACAAATGCTTTATTAATTCTGAAAGAAAAAACACTTTCTTATATTCCGTATTCATAAGTCAAGTATTTATTTGGAGTAAATTTAGTGAAGACTTAATAAATTAGAAAATTCTCTAGAACCTTTTCATTCATCTTGAACTACCTAAAGTAAATACTGAACTCTGTAAATGTTCTCCCCAGCTACAACCAGAATATAAAGCAAAAGACAATGTAAATGAAAATCATTATGATGTTTATAAATTCAGGATTCACTTAGTTTCAACATTTCAATAAATAGTAAGAATTATAAAAATATATTATTTTCCTATTGATTAGCTATTTTGAAAAGAGACTTGCATTTCAAAAGAGATAAGATTTGATTTTCAGTGATAATTAAAAGGCACATTGACTAAAAAATCTTTGGATGATCTTAAGTAAACGAGATAATGTATGTCATTTTGCTGTTATTTAATACTTATGTAAAAAAGATGCATTTATAATTTTTAAAATGAAAAAAAAAAACCCTATAAGAAATAACTAAAAAGTTTCCCTGGTGATTATTCATCATCAATAATTTTCATATATGAAATAGTGCTGAGAAAGCTGTTTCTACAAAGCTCCTTCAATGTCTCTAAACAAATATTACCACCTATTTTATGCACTCGTGGGACTTGTTTAGTATTATATTACAATCTGTCCTTCCATAGACTTGGCATCTTGAGGAAAACAACCTCTTTTTTAAAAAATCTTGCTTCTGGTACCCTTCTCCATTCTCTCCTTTCAGGATTTTGGTCATGCACTCAGCAGGAGTAATTTGAGCAATTTGCAAGTTGCTGGGTCTGCGACTCAAATTGCACAGTAGGCCAGGTGAGTTCAAGAGCTGCCATACCACCAGCTGGTCCCAACTACTCTTATATCAACACCGAGATGTTTACTTGTTTGTAAAGCGAGCTTTCTTATGTAGCTGGTAAGAACCAGTGGAGAAGGAAAATGGCAGAGATGGGGTATCCAAGAAGCCAATCCTGCAGTTGATCTTAGTGATGGTATGGGCTAATTTTAGAAGACTGAAGAGGCTTGAGCCATTCAACCATTTCAAAGAGAATCGTATAATGTCCAAAGAGGCACAGGGGCCTTGGAAATCGGAATTGCTTCTAGTAACTTAACCTTAAGTCAGGCTCCAAAGAGGATTGCAAATAAATTCTTATTCCACTTTAATCCTGATCCATAGAGACAAGATCCCTCAGGATTCTAGAAGATCCCTGAAAGCCCAGATAAGAGGGAACCCAATGAGAGTGTAATGAGTCCCTCCCCTAGGTGACAGAAACAAATATGCTGAGAAGGGTCATGAGGTAAAAAGTTCATGTAATGCTTCAGTCACCCTGCACTGTACGAGGGAATCTTAAAAATTTCATTCATGTGGGACTGGACCCATCGCCTATTGGTTGGGGAAGCTGACTCCCATATAAACATATGACCGACTGTGGTTAAAATCCCAGCCCAAGCTGGGTGTGTGTGTATGTACCCCAAATCCACACAGGATAAAGAAATGGAGGAGAAGGGACTGTGGTATGATCATAGCCTAATGGGGGATGCTTTCTCCCTCTTCCTCTCTCCGTCTCTGTCTCTCTGAGGTGAGCACATATGCCCTTTGGAAATTAAAAAAGTTCATGGAAATGTATATTATGGAAAAACTGTACATGAATTTCAAAATTTTTCTGCACTGAACCATCTGGTAGCGTGGTACTTAAGGTGGCTGGTTCCCACGTGGCCAACTGTACAGTTCATCCTGACCCAGTGGCTTAGAAAACATGCCAGGCATGTGTATGTGCATGCCCCAAATCCTAAGAGGATAACAGAGGGGAAGGAATTGGGTGTGGCCATCCCTTTGAAGTGTACTCTCTTTCTCTTTCTCTTTCTCTTTCTCTTTCTCTTTCTCTTTCTCTTTCTCTTTCTCTTTCTCTCTCTCTCTCTCTCTCTCTCTCTCTCTGGTGAGTGCATGTGACCTATAGAAAAATTTTTAAAAATTCTGCACCAAAATAAGCTCTTGGTTTAATCCAATTTTTTCATGTACTTTTTGAAGTTCTCTCATGTACACGGCATCAGCAGCTTGAGACAGAAAGCGAGAAATCACCCCCCGGGGGGGGATGGCCACGCCGCAATACCTTCTCCTCCATTCTCCTCTCAGGATCTTGGGCCTACATGCACACATGCCCGGCATGAGTTTAAGCCACCAGGTCCAGGACTTGAACCATGGTCGACTACATGGGAGTTCAGCAACATAGCCATTATGCTAACTGCTAGTTCCCGGACCTGAATGATTTTTCTGTAAGAGAAATGTATGGATGCTGTGGCAGAGTTCTTAATCCTTCACTGCACGAATACTTATCTCATAGTTATTTCATCTCAACAGATAAAAGCCACTGGAGACTGAATCATGATTAAAAATAGACGAGGTCTCTATTCCCACTGCACTTACATTCCAATGGAGGGAAATAGAAAATAACTAAACAAGATCATTTCAGATAGTGTTAAGGGCCAGAAGATAACAAAACAGAAATGTAACAGATGTGAATGTGTGTGAAAAAAATTATTCAGGTCCTTACTGATGTACACTGTTTATTGTATAAAATGTAACAATTTCAAATATTACTTATCTGATTTCCTACTCCCCAGTAGATAGCAACAACAGACCACAAATAAAGAGCAGATATTAGAGAGGAAGTAAGAAAATTAAAAACTAGAGGCAAACCCTAAAAGAATAAATTAGTCTGGGACTGCTTTGTGAAGGATCCGAGTGGCAGGAATCCGGGTGTAACGTAACCGGACGTGTCGTGCCCTAGAACGCCGCTCCCAGATCCCTTCCCCTGTTTTCCTTTGTAATGTTCCATCTTCCCCCAACATTTTACATATTTACATGTTGTTTATGAGATCCTACTCGCTAGAACGTAAGTTCTTTCAGAGCAGGACAACTGTTTGCTTTATTCAGTACAGTATCTCCAGCTCTAGAATAATGACTGCTTCTTAGTGGAATCTCAATAAATATTCATTTAATGAATATATAAATAAATGCATGAAAAAAAGGTAAAATAAGGTCAGTGCAGTCTATTTAAGTTAGACTGACTATAGAATATCTTTTTAAGTAATATTTATAGAAAAACATTTAAACTAAGAGTTTTAATACTTAAATAAGTAAGCTTCTTTTATCTAAAAAAAATTATATAACACCCCAATTCAGCATAAATATGGCGTTACTGTAGTAGGAACCCAACTGTTATCTAGCCAGTTGTTCTTCCAACAGGATCAAACTACAAATAATTAGTTTATTTTCATTCATCTCACCGGAAATTGGAAAATACATTGAATTGCTGTAATGAATAGAAAAGTCGTCTTTCTGATAGCCATTCCAAAACGGGTATAAGCTCTACTTCTTCTGTACCACAACCTATTTTAGTAACCTATAAATATAAAGCATAAACACATAACTTTATTTCTTAAAAAAATATGTGCTGTTTTTAAAAAAAAATCAAGAAAGCTCATATTTGTCTCATAATTACTTTCCTTCATAATTAAGCTTTTTCTACATCTGAACCCTCAGCCACTTCATCTAAACCCAGATCTGATTTTCCTAACACACTGCTTCTGTACTTGCCATTTGGAATGTTATTTCTTGTATTCCAACAGAGAGAGGATAAGACAGACTTCCTCCTCACCCTGAGATAGTTTGCAAGTGTTGAGTCACAGGGTGTCCCTGCCCTTCTCTCTGTCTTTCTTTCTCTCTCTCATGCACATGGATACACTGTCCTTTAAAAAGACAGTCTTTTTCACATTTCCTATAAAATAGCATTTATGAAACTAATTTTAACTACAGGACCTAGTAGTCCACGGAGGTTATAATCCTGCCACCTAGATACCCTATTTTAACATTCAAAAATGACCAGCAGATGGTGTAGCGGTTACATCTCTGGACTCCCACATGGCCAAAAGTGGTTCAAGTCCTGGAGGCTTGAAACTCACTCTAAGTGCATATGTGTGCATGCCCAAGATCCCAGGAGGAGAATGAAGAAGAAAGGATTGCAGCATGCCCATCCCCTCTGGGGGGTGATTTCTCACTTTCCCTCTCCCTGTGTCTGTCTCTCCCCAGTGAGTACAACACCCTAAGGCAGAAACCTCTTTTTCAAAAAAAAAAAAAGTGACATGCCCTTTATCAAAGACTTCACTCTCTTCCCAGGAGTCTTTGTCTGCCATCTGAATGTTACCATTTTCATATATTTTTCTTTCAGAAATAAAAGTATGGCCATATCAGTACATATGTATGTATGTGTAGAGTTTTGTTTATTCACAATTGTTCCTTCCATTTTCTTTTTTTAAATTTGACACAGGACATGTGCTCTCACCAGGGAGAGACAGAGAAAGAGAGAGAGAAAGTAAGAAAACACCCTCTATGGGGGATGATCATGCTACAATCTCACCTCCTCCATTTCTCCCTCCTTTCTGGATTTTGGGCACACATGTACACGCAACTGGTGTGTTTTTTAAACAACAAGTTGAACACTCAAACAGTGTGGTCAGTCATGTGGGATCCAGCTGCCTTAACCATCACACCATCGATTGGCCCTATTTCTTCCATTTTCATTCACTATTGCATGTTAGAGAGAGTTCCATGTTTGCATGTACATATCTATTTCACACAAACATGGTCCCATCCATACATACTTAGAGATTATTTTACTTGGGAGGTTAGAGGGCAGAGGAAGGCAGAGTGATGTAGAACAGATGATCAGAACTTGTAAATGTATAATTACCGTTTGTGATAAGTATTGAAGTGCTCTATAACAGTATAGAATAGGTGGATTTCTACATCTAGCAGTGAAGTTTTTGACAAATGCACTGAGAGCATTGGCTAACAATTCCTATTATGTTAGCAATGCCTGCTGTCCAGTTTTTCCTTGAACTAAATGACACCAAATATTAATAAAGTATTTGAAAGATGAAAAAATTTCAAATTAAACCCTCAAATCTAAATCTCTACAAAAAAGAAAAAAGTCACTATTCATAACTGTCCCAAGGAGATTCTTAAACATAAACTCTTCCTCAAATGACCAGGTTTCTCTGAAATGCAAAGATACATTTAGGCATTTAAATTCTAAATTGATTATTAAAATTCTAAAAGCTGAAAACATTCATTACGTACTACCTTGGAGATAAACGAAGCGGTAACAATCCAGAATTCTCTGCAATGTCTAGCTATATGGGTAGAGACTACCTGGAGATCGTATGGATTATAAATGGCTTTAGGATTACTCCGAGGACAGCAGTATACATATTCGCCATCATCTTTCAAAGTTTCCTGAGGATAAAAAAGCAAACTTAATTAATTTGACTAAGTTAACTAAAAAAAATCAGCTAAATGGATCATTTAGTACATTGAAACAATTGTAATATAGATTCAAAGTAAGGATAATATCATTGAGGAAAGCTAACATCAAATTGTGTCCAAAGTTCAGCAACATCAATTTCATGAAAGACTTAATATATTTAACTTCCATTCTTAAACATAATGTGGTATAAAATGCTCAGGAAAGTTTATTTTTACTGATGTTATTTTTGCCTACTAATGTATGATTACTACCTCAAAGAACTTAATGACCTATCTTCTGCATATATGCCAAATTTCAGTACCTTTGTCTGCCAACACTAAAAGCCAAATTAAATTGATCATTTATTTTGATAAAGATGGCGGTTTAGTATTATAACAACAATAGTTTTTAGTTTTTAGATATTTTTGCCATAGTATTCATGTGCTCACTGGATAAAGACAGAGAGAAAAGAAAAGCAAGAAATCAACCCCCACCGGAGGATGGTCATGCCACAATCCCTTCCCCATTCTCCTCCTGGGATTTTGGGCATGCACACCCACCCATGCCTGGTGAGTTTCTCAGAATCAGTGGGTCTGGGATTCGAATCATAGAGTCAGCCATGCGGGATTCAGCACCTTAATCACCAAGCCACCTACAAGTTATTTTTTAAGTAAAAAATATTTAATAAGTATTAAGTTGTTCACAAACATGTTTACAACCATATTTTTAATCTAAATTCCAACCTCTGAGATTTAAAGGAATTAAGGTGTAATCTAATCTCCTTTGAAAGATGTACAAATTAATATTTTGATAAATTAGGTAACTTGAAAAAAAGTCGCAAATTCAGGAAATGGCAAAGTAGGGGTCTGAACCCAAGTCTGACTCCAAACCAATGCTCTGAGCTACTGGCATTACTGAGAAGTCAGCCATTTCTACAGGCAGAAAACAATGTTAAGCAAAACTTATTTACTTTTGCTTTCATTAATTAAAAAAAATCTAAAAGTATAAAGAAATTTAATGTCTTTTAAGTCTTTTCTTGATAATTTTACTGTGAAAAAACATTCAGTATTCAGTGATGACTTCAGAAGCTATTAAATTAAGAAATAGTTTCCAATTACTATAGTTTTAAATTTTATATCCGGTTTTACAGATCTTTAACTTCCCTTTTTTTTTTTTTTTTTTTTTTTTTAGGGGTTTTTGCTATAGGGCACATGCATTCGCTAGAGAGACAGAAAGCGAGAAATCACCTCCCAGGGGGATGGCCACGCTGCAATCCCTTCTCTTCCGTTCTCCTCTCAGGATCTTGGGCATGCACGCACACATGCCTGGCTTGAGTCTAAGCTATCGGTTCTGGGACTCGAACCGCAGTCGACTACATGGGAGTTCAGCAACATAGCCATTACGCTAACTGCTGGTCCCACTTTTGCCTTTCTTTTTTTGGAGAGGTTTTTCCTATAGGGCGCGTGCACTTGCCAGAAGACAGAGAGAGACAGAGACAGAAAGTGAGAAATCACCCCCCAGGAGGGATGGCCACACCACAGTCCCTTCTCCTGCATTCTCCTCTTGGGATCTTGGGCACGCACACAAACGCACCCGGCGTGAGTTTAAGCCGCCGGGTCCAGGACTCGAACCATGGTCAACTATGTGGGAGTCCAGCAACATAGTCATTATGCTAACTGCTGATCCCCACTTTTGCCTTTCTTGCCCTCATTTTTTTTTTTTTTGGAGAGGTTTTTGCTATAGGGTGCGTGGGCTCGCCAGACAGAGAGAAACAGAGAGACAGAAAGCGAGAAATCACCTCCCAGGGGGATGGCCACGCTGCAATCCCTTCTCCTCCATTCTCCTCTCAGGATCTTGGGCACGCACACAAACGCACCCGGCGTGAGTTTAAGCCGCCGGGTCCAGGACTCGAACCATGGTCAACTATGTGGGAGTCCAGCAACATAGTCGTTATGCTAACTGCTGGTCCCCCCACTTTTGCCTTTCTTAAAGAACATTTTTTTCCCTTTTTTTGCGTGTGTGATCTGTTTTACTTTTCTATTTTGGTTTCTGATATAATCTGTCCTAAAAACCTCCAAAAACAAGTTTAAGAACTGTAAATAGAAGGGAACAAATAAGCTTGGACTGATTATTTGTCCAATCAGCCTTCTGCAGCATTGGGTTCCACATCTGGGATAACAAGCAACCATGGATGCAGCCAGTCCATGCCAGTGTTATGAAGTGGGGGAAGAAGCACTCCTTCAAAGAGAGATGCTAGAGAAACTTACATGTTGGGTCGTCAGAAAAGTCATGACACATTTTGTATAGGAAAACATAGAAAAATACGTTATAACTGTTCCAAGAACTCAATGTATACTTTCCTGTTAATTTATAATGGATGCTACTACTACTTATCAGTAATCTAAATTTAAAAGATTTAAAGTATACGAGAAGATGTGTATAGATTATATGCAAATATCATGCCATTTTATATAAGGGACTTGAGCATCAGCATATTTTGGTGCCGACAGGGTCCTGGAACCAACCCCCTGAGAATACCCAGGGATGAGGGAGACTGTGTGGTGCATGGCCTTCGTTAGAGCTATTCGATTACTTGAAGCATTTTTTCTTGAAAATTATATTTCAAAACCTGGGGTTATTGGAAATTTAGTGTAGATGTATTATTCTAAATGGATCATAAAGATAGAAGCATATGTTTCAATTATTCTTTTTCCACTAAAACAAGTTTTAGTTTTTAGGTTTTTTTGAGAGAGTTTTTTTTTTTCTTTTTTTTTTTTGCTATAGAGCATGTGTGCTTGCCAGAGAGACAGAGACAAAGAGATAGAAACTAAGAAATCAACCCTAGGGGGATAGCCACACTGCAGTCCCTTCTCCTCCTGTCTCCTCTTGGGATTCTGGGCATGCACGCATGCACACGTGCCTGGTTCTGAGTTTTAAGCTGCCAGGTCTGGGACTCTGATTGTGCTGGACTATGTGGGAGACCAACAATGTAACCATTACGCCATTTGCTGGTCCGAAAACAAGTGATTTTTTTTCATATCCGGAATCCTTTCTTACCATATAAGTGAAACATATCTTATTTGAGAATCCGAGGAACCCATACACAGTATCGTGATTTGGTTTAACTACTATGCCCACTATCAGGCACCATAGCCCACACTCTATCTCATTAAACCTTCACAGCATTCTTAGGTACTGTTATCTCCATTTCAAGGTCAAAGAAACTAAGCCCAGAGAGAATAAGAACTTGCCCCAAATTACACTGTGAATATGTAGTTTCAAAACTAGGTGAGTATCTGATTCCATTGTGCATATACTTTCCTTTACATTATGCTGCCTCTGAACACTGACCAACAGACCATTTATCCTTAATGATATTCAGTCTAGAGCAGGAATCAGCAAACGATAGCCGGGCCAGGTGCCTGGTGTGAATGAAGTTTTATTGGAACAAGCCACATCCATTTGTTTAGGTATTGTCTGTCAGCGCTTCTGCACTACAAGGACAGAGTTGAGTAGCTGTAGCAGAGGTCATATGGCCTGTCATGTCTAAAGTATTTATTATCTGGCTCCTTTCAGGAAAAGTTCATTGACCCCTGGTTTGACTCGGTGGTTCTTAACTGTGTGTCAGTCACCTAGAGAGCTAAACTACAGATTGTTGCTCTCTCTGGTCCCACCTGGTTTCTGATCCAGTGGGTTTAACATACAGATGAGAATAATAAGCCCCAAGGTGATGCTGCTGCTGCTGCTTGACTGCAGACTGCACTGTGGGAATCCACCAGATCCCATTTTTAAATAGGAAGAGATGATCTTGTTCAATCCTTGATCAGATGTAATAAATGGTTCTTGTGGCAACTACCTCTGGCCATGTGACCTTGACCAAGATAAAACTTCTCTTAAGAAAGAGACAAATGAGTAAAAAGAAAATGGAAAGTATAAGGAAACAGAAATAATAGATAGAAAAATTAGGTAGCAAGAAGGAAGAGAGTGATAAGGATGGAATATAAAAGGTTATATTAGTATTTTGTTTTAAATCACAAAAAACTGATAGGCAGAAAAACCAAACAGGAGATTTGAATTTTAGGCAGATGGTTCTCCTTCCTGGGGACCCAATTAGAGAAAGGGATAAAAGAGAACAGATGCAGTTATGTTGATAAATTGGGTCGTCTGAAAAGTCAGGATGTGTTTTTCCGTTTTTCTATGCAAAAATATGTCATGACTTTTCCAATGGCCCAATATTGTAAACTTAAATTGTATATGACTTACCTATTTTCCATTCCTTAAACAAGGTGAAATGAAATAATGTCAAATATTTTTTAAGTGTTTACCATTAAACTATTATAATTTGATATTAATGTGTTGTATGATTTCATTGTAATATCTGAAATGAATTTAATAAAAATTAGCATAGTTCAAATACTGATTTTAGGGGACCAGTAGGTGGCATGGTGGTTGAGGTGCTGGACTCCCACAAGTCCCAGACCTGACAGCTTGCTTTCTCACTTTCCTTTTCTTTCTCGCTCTCTCATAAAATGTAAAAAATAATGATAATAAATAAATAATAAATATTGATTTTGTAGTAAAAAATTAAGTAAAATAGAGTAATACCTTTAGAGTAAATTTTGGAGTTGCAATCTTGGAACTATCACATTTCAAACTGTGCTGTGGTAATACAGTTTGCCAACCAAGCTTTTCTCTTAACCTAATAATATGTCTTATCACATCGTTATCTTCTGGTTCTGGTATAGAATATTAAAAAATAAAGTCCAAAATAAATACAAATTATAGACACTACTTAAGAATAATGCATAATATTTCAAATATTTTTAGGTACAGTAGAAATTTAAATGGTAATATATGGTTTACAGAAAGACAACAGAATTAGACGAGAAAGCATAGCTTAAATGCTTAAATTGTTTTATCAGAAGCTCAGAAAAAAATAAATAATACTTATCCCTTTAAAAAGATATCACAAAAGACCTCATTCCACAGATATAAAGGGAGTAAGCAAGAGAAGAGCCCAGTAGAGGCAGTAGAAGGCTACTTAATACAAGTCCAAGCTGGTGTGAAGTCAGTAAGAGTAGAGGGAAAAAAAAAGCAAGGATGACAGTGAGAGCTGGAAATATTGTTAAGGTTACTCAGCTAATAAACACTATTTCGATGATATTTTTCTTGACCTCTTAACTAGCAGCTAATGCTCCTCTCCCTGAAACAGCCTTTTCTTTTTTTTTTTTTTTTTTTAATCCTCTGTGCTGTACAAGTTGTACTACTGGCACTGAAACTCCCTTATTTTTTTTTGAAATTCTGATTTTTTAAAAAAGATTTTTGGCATATATCACATAGCTCACTGGAGAGCGACAGAGATAATGAGAGGGAAAGTGAGAATCATCCCCCAGGGAGATGGCCATGCTGCCATCCCTTCTCCATTCTCCTCCTGAGATTTAAGGCACACACATGCATGCACCTGGTGTGATTTTTCAAGCTGCCAAGTCCAAGACTCATACTGTGGTCAGCCATGTGGGAGTCCACAAACTTCTTTTTTTGATAGAACAAATCATGGCAGGAGATGATTACAGAAAGCCATGCTGGCAAAACCAGCAATCTAAGAAGTTATTTCAGACTTCTGACCCTCCAGAAATCACAAACACCATCTGAGTAAGACAATTTCTTGGATAAGGACTAAATAAGACTTGAGATTTCAATATAAAACACTGTCAGGACTAGGAGGAGGACCTGCATGACATCAAGAGTGGGTTCCTCTTTACATTTTGTACTCTGGCCACTTCACTTGTCACCCTAGTCCAGACCCTTTCAGTTGTTTAAATGAAAAGAAAGCTAGCTAACAATGAATATAAAAGAAAAAAGGGAAGGTCCTGAAAATTAGTATAAGGAGATGGCTCTGACTGTATGTCCAATAAGAGCATAAGTAACTATATTATAGACCCAATATAAAAACATACACTTATAGAAATCAAAATAGTGTGCTATTGACATACAAAACAGAGAACAAAGTCTAGAAATATAACCATGTATTAAAGAAGATCTAATAAGTGAAAAATGTTTTTCAGATTGTAAAAAGAAAAACCCTTAAGTGAATCATTTTCAAAAATAGCTTAACAAAAGTTGCTTAACCAGATTGGAGACCTGACAACCCCAGAAAGTACACACTCCTGAAAAGTTTTTGAACAAGCACAACTGTAAAACAAGTCACCCTTGAAAAATGACTTCTCAAGGTGGTAGCTGGTTACCAGCCCTTTTGTTCCTTTTCACTTCCCTGTTCTTCCCCCTCCTCAGGACATTTGTGGGCCTTTTTTGTGGGCTAGTCCTAAGCCTGTGCCTTAATACTAACACCTAGGCAAGCTCTGAGAAGATTGTACATCCCATAGTACTCAGCCAAGGAGGAACTGGGGGAGAGACTTGCACACTAGGGAATAAATTGCTTGTCGTAACCAGTTTGGGCATGACTGCCCGTTAGATACCCGATTTTGCAAGGCTGTCATTGGAATCTCACTTCCCTGTACCTCACTCTCTATGTCCATTCTTTGATATTGGATTGATGAGTGCGTTTCTCACAAAATCATTAGAAGAATGATTATTTAATAAGTAATAATGGGAAATGAAGATACATGCAAGTATAAATTACTGATGGTTTGGAGAACTTAATGTGGAAAATGAATTATAAATATTACAGAAGAAAATGTGGGAGAATGTTTCTAAACCTGGGGTATCAAAGGCTTCCTAAAAGAAAAAAAAAAAATAATCAAAGCATGTCAAAAAGAAAACAACCTAAATTTGACTTCCTCAAAACTAGTAACTTATACACAAGAAAAGTCACCATTAACAAAGTTAAAATATAATTAACAAATTGGAAGAAAATGTTTATAGCCTATAAAATAGGCTAGAGATTTTAATATTTAAAGAATTCTTATCCATCACTAAGAAATAAACATTAGGCTATAAAGATGAGTAAACCATTTACAGGAAAAGACAAATGACCAGTAGACATCTGAAAAGCATTCAACCTTATCAGAGATCAGAAAATTGCAAATTAAAACAACTATGAAAAAGCATTTCTCAGAACAAGCAGATGATGTAATGGTTATATTACTGGACTCCCACATAGTCCACTACGATTTGAGTCCTGGACCTGGTGGCTTGAAAATCAGGCTGAACTTGTTCCGGCCCAAGATTCTGAGAAGAGAATGGAGAAGGGATTGCAGCATTGCCATCCCCCAAATCGGTCTCCCAAAAAAAGCATTTCCCATCCATAAGACAGGCAAAAAATATATATAATTCAAAGTTGAAAAGTATTAACTGCTGTCAAGGGTATTCTCCTAGGAAATTTTGTAATAACATACATCAGCACACCCACTTTTTTTTTTTTTTTAGAGGTTTTTGCTATAGGGCACATGTGCTTGCCAGAAAGACAGAGACAGAGAGACAGAAAGCGAGAAGTCACCCCCCAAGGGAGATGGCCATGCTGCAATCCTTTCTCCTCCATTCTCCTCTGGGGATCTTGAGCGTGCATGCACACACAGCTGGCATGAGTTTAAGCCACCGGATCTGGGACTCAAACCACAGTTGACTACGTGGGAGTCAGCGACATAGCTATTATGCCAACTGCTGGTCCCCAGGACATCCACTTTTGAGAGTGATCTGGCAGATTTAATGGGGAAAATAATGACTTAGAAAATGAGACCAATTTAGGGCAAATAAAACAAAGAATGATTTTTCAGAATAAGTAGAAAATTTAAGGAATACAAATTCTTTAAAAAAACTAGTGTGCCCAAAACCCTGAAAGGAGAATGGAGGAGAAGGGATTGTGGCGTGGCCATCCCCCCGGGGGGTGATTTCTCGCTTTCTATCTCTCTACCTCTCTCTGTCTCTCTGGTAAGCGCACATGCCCTATAAGCAAAAATCTCTCTTAAAACAAAAACAAGAACATGGTCATTGAACAGTCCCTGTCAACTTTTTACTTTAATACTATTTTAGATTTTCAGAAAAAAAAATATATCTTAACAATTCTTTAAGCACAAAACACAAAAAACTCCATTAAAACTCCTTTTTTTTCCCCCTAAAATCAGTGTCCAACATAAGCACAGAAATCACAGAGTAATTTGAAAGGCTATAGTGTTT